ACATTAAATGTAGCGCAATTTATAATTCCGTAATAATTTTGTACTTTTGCCAAACGCGTGTATTGACAATTTTCGAAATGTCTCGTAAATCGGAAATTTTACTTCCTTCTCTCTTTCTTATCTGCGCCATAAATCAGTAATCTAGACCATTACAATAAATATTGCTAAATCGATTGCAAATCAAAGCGTTTGCCCTCGTAGTATATCCGGTCATTTTAGTAGGAAATGATTCAGGATTGCGGCGTTTAAGAATTCTTCAATTTAAGTGCGGTTAATGTAAAAATAAAAACAGTACAAGTTATTATTTCTATATTACACATGAAGACAAGCAATACTATCAGTGTGCATGCATTGGTTGAATTTTATAATATTTTGAGTGTTTCAATTGGGCATTCCAAGAACGATGAGTTTTACATTATTCATTTTTTATTATTTTAAGTTTTTTGACACGCATGTATTCGACGTCTTTTTATATAAAAAAAAAACATTAAAAAATTTTGCTTTAACTCGCCTGCAACATTGCGGTGTTTCAGCAAAGCTTTTTAAAGGATTACAATTTGTGTCATGTGGGTAACTTGACGCGAAATTTAGCAAAGGTGATGATTTTCTCGTGATTTTGAGCTGGACTTTAATGATTTTGTCATAACAAGCAGTTAATTCGATACAGCAGATATGAGACCTTTCAATTTCTCAAGGGTGGAAACTATAAATAAAGCTGTTAGGTTTCCTGCAAAACAATTTATTATTTATAACGCCTTTTGATTTATAATTTGTAAGATTTATGTTTCCACACATTCACAGCTTTCTGTTTACATTGTGCGAGAAAATTTTAATATAAACTTGGAATTTAGGAACATTTCGTCAAAACAGTAGCTCGCCTTAAATTGAATTTGGTTTGTAAGTCGTGTATGTAGAGAGAGTCCAAGACTATCCAAGATAAATACTGTGGAAGCGCTTGTGATCTGCCGGCATTGTCAACAATATAGAAACTTATTGTTAACTGAACTGATTTGCATTTACTTCGGTACATGATCGTTCGAACCGTGTCTATAGTATAGAATTTTAATTTACACTGAGCAGAGATTTATTTACTCTGCAATTTTAATTATACAAAACTTGAATCTACGTAAATAATCCACCCACACAGACGTCTTACAAAATATCGTCACATTACCTTCGTGGGTGTTACGACATGATCGATTGCGATATGCATTAAAGGTGGCGTGTGCAGTCTTGCTAAGTGTTGTATTTCAACTTTGAACTAATCCAGTTGATATAAAGTGATGAAAATGATTGAGAATATTTAGTGCGCTAAAATACTCATTTGAACTCTCAATTTGGAAAAGTACATGACATGAAACGCAGCTTAAACTAGGAAAGCTTGGGATTGATAGGGATACAACTACCTGAAAAATACAAGGAGAACTTCGAGCGAAGTCTCTTCGATTTTGGGATGGACGCATTCCTCTCAAGCTTTCTGATTATTGACCTACACTTGCACAGATCAATGAAGATTATATCACAGCTTAAACTAAGGAATTCATAATTGTAAACTCACAACAATTTCCTACAAGCGATACCGGATATGGGAGAAAGATATATTTATACTGTGGGTACAGATTATTGAGAGACACAGATTACTGTGGGTACAGATTATTGAGATACACAGATTAGAAAAAGATTAGGATGTGTAATTTCCGATCTACAAAGTGAAGAAGAAAGAAAACTACAACGAATGTTGTAGCAAGGTCAAGAAGTTTCACCTTCATAGAATATATTCTCCCACCTCCCACGGGTCCCCCCTCTTACCTGTGACATAATATCTTCATCAACCTCCGCCTCAGGTTCTGCCCAGTCCACCGCAATCTGGTGTCCCCACAGTTGTACCCTCCCCGTCATAAGCTTTCTCCTCGCCATGGCCGCTGCTCTATGACTCTCATACTCCACAAATGCGAAACCTCGGTTCTTTGTCTTGTCTGACGCCGAGGGATACACTATCACATCTGTCACACTCTCTGTCACCTTGGACGAAGCAAAGGTAGACCAGTTGTTAATTCTGGCTTACAATATCAAAGTTTCTGTGATCACAGTAGGAATTTTGCATAGGTAAATTCTAAGTTTTGAAGGATTTATAAGAAATGTCTGAGAGAACTGACTTAATGTTTAACTCTGTGTCAGTCCGCTGAAACGACTGTGATCACAGAAACTTTGATAGTGTTTAATTAAAGGAACATGCAGGCATTTCTGCACGAACTTGTTAGGGATTGTATACTTGAAATGAGTCGGCAAAACAAACATAACCCTCGAGCGAAATTTGCTTTACATGAGCATGACGCATATATTACATGATAAAAAATCAATGAGAAATGTATTATCCATGCTTTCAAACGATTTGTCTCGGGAGAAAATCTCACCGGAGTTACAGATGACGTAATCTCAATATACCTAGTGTATGAAAGCATTTTAGGACAAAACTAAGTGATGTTTGAAAAGGAACGAAGAATTTTATTAAATATATGCACAATTTTATGGTGTAGAGGAGTCGTGGAAATATTATCTCATTTTACCTTGGATATTTCTTCAAGTATTTCCTGTTTCTTGACTTTCTTTGGTATGCCACCAACAAATAGCCTACAATTATCCACGCTCGAGCACACGCCCAGCATCTTTCCTCGTCTGATTTCATAATTATTCAATTTCTTGATGCAAGCCTGCGCGTCTTTCTTCTGAGTATAAACTACAAAGGCATAGCCACGATTTCTACCGTCAAAGTCCATCATCAGACGCACTTCGTAGATTTTCCCGACCGTTTCAAAGATAGGAACAAGCTCGTCTTCGTAGACATCCCGCGGTATCTTACCGACAAAAACCTCACAACCTGGAATGAATTTGTTCATATTATTAAAAGCAGTCGTCAAATCTTACACAGTCAAGGTTTCCTGTGAATCTTCAAACAAAGTTGGGTGACATTTTGAACATCTACATGCGATATAACTAATCGTAGAAAAGTTTTGTGGATGGAAATTGTCAGTGTGAACTTTATACATTTATTTATAGACCGTAGGATCGATTCCTGCCACAGGGCCTATAGTCTATAGATAGATCTAATAAATGTATAAAAATTCACACTCACAGTTTCCATCTACAAAAACACTTCTACAATATTTTACAAAAAATCATGCTTCCTAGAAACTTGTGCAATACGATAGCTGGAGTCTTGGTTCAATGGGTATGCTCGAATGATGTCAACTCAACAAACATCAAGATATCATATTCTCTGACGACATTTGTTGAAGGATTCAAACCTCCTACCGAAATAAAGGAACTATTTCTACTTCGTCCGGAAGTTAATGGCAGTTTATGTTTATACCAACATCTAAACAAATTTCCTTCGTTTAAAATGTCGAGGTATAATTTTCAGATAGTTTTATCACAGCCTCAGGAAACAATATACGTCTGTGACCTCGGCGGGCATGCGGTATCCAAGCATATCGTTGTCACATATTCTGTAGGTTTACCAATCTCAAACTTACTATATTTTATGTTATTTTGAAAGTGGAGTCCAGTATAGGTGGTATGTTACGATAGACCTAGACTCCAACACTCTCATTGGAAGTATTTATGTATAGATGTGATGTAATAACACAACTTATGAGACTTCAAATTTTGAAATTTCTACACAATGTTCTAGATTGGTTTGTCTCAACTCTTTGTGGTATTAAGGTGGTCTCTGCATTTTGTGAAGTAAAGCGCACATGTCTATGTTGTGTGAATAAGAGGAAATAACATATAATAAACCAAACCTCGTGGTGGTGTCGTTCCAGTGTAGTCTGGTGGTGGACCAAACCTTCGTTGTCCGTTGGATTGTTTGATAGGACATCCAGTACGTTTCATTAAAGCACGTAAAGCTGTTTCATTTGGTGTGCCAGTTACTCCGTCCTCGCTCGGTGATGGTGAGCCTCTTGCTTCCATGTTTTGCGACGTTTCACCAGCCTCAGCAACCGTCATCTTTCAAGGCAGGTTTGAGGCGATCTTAGACGATGTTGATATATGAGCTCGCGTTTTATACTGGCCTTTGTTTTTATCACATGATAATAACGCGTCTCATGTTACATTCGAACATTGCATAACTTTGAGGCAAATATTTGTCTTTTCCAAACCTACAGTTCTGGGTTGGGCTACAGTCCCTGTATTAATAGAGCTCCAAGTGTGATTTATTATATACCAAAACTTCATGAATTTGACTATCCCGAGACAAAAATTAATCGGAAAGGTTTTTGAAGAACGAGGGATTCATACGTTTGGCAAATAAGCCAAATATTTGTTCTGTCGAGCTTTGGATTAAATCATTTAACAAGATTCAGTTGCCTTAGAAACCTCGACGAGTTGCTTACTCTATTCATTTAAATGTGATTTGTTTCTGAACTGTCCGAAAAAGATGACATAATGACTTTCTGACGAAGGGCCTTCGGTAAAAATTGTCTTCGGGCAGTTCAGACACAAAGGTCACAAAGCGCTGAAGCATGGCAGTTTCAGCGTGACAGAAATCATCAGGAAAACATGAAAATATTGCTACAGTGTGGCCTCTTTATTTCAGACGCAAATCGAGAGAAGCCGTGCGCTTGTGACGTGTTGTTGATGGGTACAGGGTACCTCTCACCAGCCAGGGACAATATCCCTGAGGTTGGGCCTTAATTCCTGGGCTCATGACAGTACGGATTACAAAGCACGAAGACTCAGACATTAGGTTACTACAGCTTGTGATTTCCCTGGCAAGTTGAACTTTGGACGAAATATTTAATCCTTATTTATGTTATCCTAATCCACGTCTTGTTAACTTATCATTGTGTGGGAGACGAAAGGCTTTTGACAGATCAGTTGCATAGTTTGAATAAGTGAAGATTTTCCAGGAACCTGCTTCTCGCCTGGACATCTATCTCATTTCACCATCAAAGTTTCTGTGATCACAGCAGGAATTTTCCACGGGTAAATTCTAAGTTTTGAAGGATTTGTAAGACATGTTTGAGGAAACTGACTCGTGTTTAACACTAAGTCAATTTCCTCAAACATTTCTTACAAATCCTTCAAGATTTAGAATTTACCCATGCAATATTCCTACTGTGATCACAGAAACTTTGACAGTGTAACAGGGTTCGTACGAAACGGAAAGTCCTTGAATGTCCTTGGATTTGAAAACAAAAATTCAAGGCCTTGAATGTCTTGGAGTTTGTAAAGAAGTACTTGAAAGTCCTTAAATTCTTCTTGATTTAGTTTATGGATATTTTCCGAAATTGTTTGACATTCAAAACGGACATTTTGTTGAATTGATTTTGCATGTTCATATCTGACAAAGTTGTTTGAAATTCGTTAAATTCGATCGCCCTTTCTGAACAATTCAACGTCACTTTTTACTGAATCCTAAGATTTCAAACGCTTTCTCTTCAGTATTTAGTGCTTGAATTTGCTGATACATGGCCTTGAATGTCCTTAAAAAGTCCTTGAGTTTGGCTCTTCCTCACATGTACCACGGTACGAACCCTGTGAAGAACATGTACTACCTCTGCACTCTATTCGCATTAGTTTGTTCCTAGGCTACATCTGAATGCGATGCAAAGTATGCGAGAGATTCTATTCATCTTATATTCAGTGACTCACTCTGTTGACTAACAAATATCGCAGGTCAGAATATTTTGGGTTCCTTCGATAAAAAGGAAACATCTACTGGAGTTCTACGTCGAGGTACACTAGGTATATGAACCTTTGTGCAAAAATACAGATTGCGTGATCGTAAACGAGTGCCATTGTTCTCTAAGTATCAACATTTCATGCAGTCGTGTTTGCTATGATTTCTTTAACAAAACAATATTTTTATCTAAACAAATACCAAGTAATGGATTGACAATAGATCATTTTTAATCTGTTTTGAAATCTAGAAGCTTGTTTAAATATAAGCTACCAGCTAGTTTACCCGCATTCATCCCCCCCCCCCCCGGTTCATTGATGGTGGCATCTGACATTTACTTCCATGTGACAAAACAAAGCTGTCAAGGAGACGGGGGGAGTTAGATGAAAAGAAACGCATGATATAAAAGAGACGAGCAACAGCATGCATTTTCTATCAGAAAATGACACCGGGTCTGGAATAGTTTTGTACGAAGAAATTCCTTGTGCAGTGTTTGGAAGCACGTGCTTGGCACGTGTTAAGCACGTCGACCATCAATGTTTGTCCGTAAACGTAATATACACCTTATCCGGATTTTGAGCATCGATCTACACTCCATATAACTAATTGCAGATAGGTTTTGCAGTTGGAAATTTCCAGTGTTTTACATTTATTACACCTGAGCAGAAACAGTTGTGAAAAATGCAGCTATAGGCCCTCGAACCTGCGACTCCGGTGCAGTGCTCTAACCAACTGAGCTACAGAGAGACAGTTGTCGAGTTCTAACCAACTGAGCTACAGAGAGACAGTTGTTGAGTTCTAACCAACTGAGCTACAGAGAGACAGTTGTTGAGTTCTAACCAACTGAGCTACAGAGAGACAGTTGTTGAGTTCTAACCAACTGAGCTACAGAGAGACAGTTGTCGAGCTCTAACCAACTGAGCTACAGAGAGACAGTTGTTGAGCTGTAACCAACTGAGCTACAGAGAGACAGTTGTCGAGCTCTAACCAACTGAGCTACAGAGAGACAGTTGACGAGCTCTAACCAACTGAGCTACAGAGAGACAGTTGTCGAGTTCTAACCAACTGAGCTACAGAGAGACAGTTGTCGAGTTCTAACCAACTGAGCTACAGAGAGACAGTTGTTGAGTTCTAACCAACTGAGCTACAGAGAGACAGTTGTCGAGTTCTAACCAACTGAGCTACAGAGAGACAGTTGTTGAGTTCTAACCAACTGAGCTACAGAGAGACAGTTGTTGAGCTGTAACCAACTGAGCTACAGAGAGACAG